TTCTTCACGATAGTAAAATTTATTTTAAAAATTCTTTTATTCATCTGGAATCTTCCATTGTTTAGATTCACCAAATCTGAACATTGGGTGATTTTATGAAAAGTAACCTAACACTTATTTGGGGTAATAGGAAGATTAAGGAAATACGTAAGGCTTTTCCATTGAGGGAAACACAATGGAAATGCTCATATTACCCCTAAAATGTTAATGTGGAGGGCAAAAATGTTTTGTTACTCAAGAGAAAAATAAACCTATCAGATTAGTAATTTATAAAAAAAATAATTTTCTTCCTAGCCATATCACTGATAAATTGCTATTTTTATTTTATTTCTCTCAAGGAATATGCTGTTTTCATGTCTATGTACACGTATAAGGTGACTTATTACATGAGTTCATTGCCCAGCAGATGAAGAATTTTAACTGCAAAAAGACAACAAAAAACCACAAACAAATATAATCTGCCAATTGGAAGCTTATTGTCCTTTTGCATATAAAAATCGATGAGCAATACTGTTGGGCCTATTTAGTAAGCTAGAGTGCAAAGTGCTCCAAGTAAACATTAGGAAGACTTGAGGTGTGAATTCAATTTCTCATCTTTCTTTCCAAGGCGTTAATAGCTGTGTCTAGTTGAGATCATTTCAAATGCAACTTCAGAGTATACAGCAATTAAAAAAGCTTAAACTGTTTGATGCTTTCAAAAAAGATTCAGACATCCATTGCTCCCTATTGTTCTGCCTTTGGAAAAAAAAAAAAAGCTTCATTCAGGGGTTCTGGAGCAGTATGGTATGTAAATAAGTAGAGACGCTCTTATCTCTGCATAGTCCTCTCTCACATGGTGAGCAGAAATGTCCCCAGGAGCAAAGCATCTTCACATAGAGCTGCATTATCAGGGTTAGTGCTCACATGGAAATCAAAGCAACTTCTCATGGAAGTCCAATTTAGCTATTTTTTTTACAAGCATTTACACTGGATATCACATAAACACTTATAGATTTGCATGCTTGAATGGGGCTAAGACCTCCAACTTTTTCCAAAACAGGAATTATAGGTGCCATTAACACTGTGAAATTAACAAACGCATCATGATACAAATTAGCTTCCTACTACCTGTCTCCCTCCAGATATTATCAAACCTTAATTTCCTTGTCCAAGGGAATTCCACATAAGCTTTAAATGGATTAACGATTCCAGTTTAAAAACGTGTTCATCTAAATCAGCTTCTACAAGTTATTTTCAAGTTTTGACATTTCTACTGAGAGTATCTATATTGTATAGTCATAACATACATATAGTCCTTGACTTATGACCCAACTGGTACCTACCTGGTCATGATGGTTGTAAAGTAAGCAATTACACGACCAATCAAATTTTATAACCTGAGTTTTTTGGCAATCATTAAGCAAATCACCATGGTTGTTTAGTGAATCTGCAGTCATTAAGGAAACCCGTTCTTCGCCATGGGGCATTTCTGCCGAAAACTGAAAGCAAAAGCCAGTTTTTGGCAAAAATGTTATAAATTGTAGTCATGTGACTACATGAAGTGGCCATAAATGAGGGCATTGCTGAATACCCAAAATGTGGTCACTTAACGGTGGGATGGGGGCTGCCGCTGGAACTTCAGAATTGGGTCGTAAAATTTTGGGGGGAGGGGTCCGTTGGAAGTTCAAACTGTCACTATAGCAACCAGTTGTAACTCAAAGACTACCTGTATGCACTTCAAAAATGTCCTTTTTCTGTTTTATGACTATCTAATAAACATGAATTAGGATAAAATGACAAAGCAACAGATCTAAAGATTATAAATGATTATATTTATTCAACTTATAATATCTTAAATAAAAGTGCCTACCTTTTCACACTTCCACAGTTTTCTATTCTTTTTTCTCTGTGTTTTTGCTGACCTCTGCTTATCCATCTGGATAAACACATAAATTAGCAGCCAGGCCAGACTGCTGCTCAGATGAGGTCCTGTTCTCTTCACAGCAGAAATCCTTACTGTTTAATAAGCTTCAGACATTGCATATATTCTTGTCACTCTTTATACAAGATTTCCTCTTTTTATCAAAACAATGCCATTATCACATGTGATCACAAAGTCCATTGTAAAACAATTTGATTAAAAGTCTCAGCAATTACTCAGAGAAAACTAAGCTGTCACTTTCTACATCAGGAGTTAACATCTTCTGATCAGAAAGATGTACATGCCCTCAAAGCCCATCAAGATTATTTTTGCCAAAATCCAGAGGCAAAATAGTTTGAATATACGTGTGTGCTTTTTTCTTAAATCTGAAATTCAACTCTCAGCTGGCTTATACCTAAAACAGCTACCAGGGCTTTCATTCATTCATTCAGAGTGATTGGATCATCTGAAAGAAGTAGCTTCTCTTAGTTCTTTGGGGACATGTTCATAGGTTTCCCCCCCTCCAATCCTAAAGAAATTGGATTTATTTTGGATTAGCAAACCTGAAAACTTATCTTAATCACAAAGAAGACTACAGTTATTACTCCAGTCTTTTAAATCCTTTGAAAAAAGGATAAAACTAATTTCGTCCACTAATTTGGAAAGAATGGTTAATGAGAAATGGTGTTTAAGTGACCTGTATTAAATTAAAATGTGATTACTCCTTTTTTATCATAATTAGCCAAAGAAGAAATGTAGAACAGGCAGGCAGTCTAGCAGAGTATATCCACGAACATCAACTATCAGTCAGAAGACACAATGAAAACTCATTAATCTCACAACACATGGACAGACTCAACCATAGTTTCAACTGGGAAACTGTCAGTATCCTAGACTAAGCTAAATCCAAAAATATTAGGGAATTCCTGGAAGGATGTCATTCAGACAAATCGGCAATCATCAGACAGATAGATATAAACCATGTTTACACACCATTGATAATAAAAAATGCTAAAAAAGCTGAAAAGGAAGCAAAAAGACCAGAATACACCTCCTCTACAACCAACACTTAGAGAAACAGAGAGTAACACCAGACAAAACCTCAGACAAATCAAGGAACCAGCAAGGAGAAAACCACATGGTCACCAAAACTGACAGAGCAAGCTAGAGGTAACCGTCAACTTATGACTGGTTGCTTAGCATTAAAATTAATGTATTTGAAAAAGTATTCAGGAGACCTAGGGTCAGATTCACCTTCAGAGAATCAATTCCAGGTGACTTTAGTTGTATTTTAGTCTTTTCCCTCTCCTTAAAAACTTTTCAGTACTTGATGGGGCTGGAGTGTAGGTGAAGAAGACATTGACTCAAGCCATCCTGATTCACTTTGGATAGTGAGATGGGCAGCATGTAAAATTTAATAAATGAATAATAAATAAAATGTAGGAGATGACCAGGTGAGCCCAGACGAGGAGTCAAACTCATCATCAGTTCAAGTCCCTTCATGCCCAGAAGAGTTCTAAGTCTAGTTCACCTTGACTTCCATTGACTCTTATCTGCTGCCAATTCGCTTTGAATGTTAATAGTTCAGATTCTTGTAGAGAGCTTTAGCTTACAGTAAATCTATATATATTTATTTGAACTGATTTCCTGCGCATGACATAAAAAGCAGTCTGTAACACTCCAAGTCCTAGACTTATAACAACTGAGCCAAATTTTCTGTAAGACAGTTGTTGTTTTGCCCCATTTTATGTCCTTTCTTGCTACAGTTGTTAAATGAATCACTGCAGTTCTTAACACAGTTATTAAGTGAATCTGGCTTCTCCAGTGACTTTGATTGTCAGAAGGGAGCAAAAGGTGATCTTATGACACTGGGGTCCTGCAACTGTCAGAAGTACATGCCAGTGGCCAAGTAGCCACATTTTAATCACGTGACCATGGGGATGCTGCAATGAGCATAAGTATGAAAATCCAGTCATAAATCTGCCTTTGTAACTTTGAAAGGTCACTAAACAAATGGTTGTAAGTAAAGGACTATCTATCTATATACCTAAGGCTGTGCTCTTCCAATTACATGTTCAAAGGACAACCAACCTGGCACATCAGTGTTTCTTCCAAATGGAACCTGAAGGAGAAAGTCTTGTGGGGCAAGGGTGGTGATGGGGGAATGACATCCATGTGCCAGGGTAGATGCCATGGCACACAACTCCCTCTCACCTTTTTGGTGTTGTCTCTCAGAGGTTGCCCTCCGTCTAAGGATAAAACTGATCTAATAGGACCTGCCATACAACTTGCACACAGCCTTTCAACCAAGCAGAGCTCTGTGTTTGCGGGTGTGCTGGGGAATCCCAAATTACCCCCACACCCACTAGGCTGCTGCCAGACCGCCCGGCAACTGCTCTTTTATTACACTGATTATATAAGAAGGGAACAGGAGTCTGTTTCCTTCCCTCCCCTCTTCTTCTATTTGTGAGCCTCTCCTCCCCTCCCTTCCCTATGCCAGTCGCGGGAATAATTAATGGGTGCAAAGAGAAAGACAAAAGCTTTCTTGCTATTAATAGGAGCTGGGAGGGCAGAGGAGAGGAAATGGGAGGCTTGCAGAAGCTTCCATGACTTACGGCCGAGGCTGGCCTGCCTGTTCAACCTAAACGCAGCCCGGAGCAGTTTCCCCATTGCACACAAAAACAGAGGAAAAAGGGGTTGGCTGGAAAAAGGAGGAGGAGGAGGGGATCGGCCGGGAAGGCCCTTAAACAAAGCCATTTCCCGCCTTGGATGAGGAGTCCCGGGCAGAACGCGGCGGGGAAGAGCTCTGTGTGAGGAGGCGACGGGAGAGGCTTTTCTCCCCGCGCGCCCACCATCTCTTCGCCCGGAAGAACCGGAGATTAGGAGCCGCGCTGAAGCTCCCGTGAGCTGGAAAAGCGGAGCGGCGATTGGAGACACGCCCAGCCCCGAGGGGCTTAAAGAAACCCGCTTGTTTGCTCTTGTTCTGGGCAAAAAAAAAACAAAAAAACACAACGCCGGGCTTCAGCGGCCTCGGCGCGAGAGGGTGACCGAGGACGAAGAGGCGGAAGGGGGGGGCGGGACTCAAAGCGTTTCTACCCACCTGGGCGCTGGGCAGCCGAAAGGCTTCGCTCTGCTGGCCGGCCGGCCGGCCGTGGGCAGTTCCGCCAGCGGGGCTCGCGGCGGCGTTGGCGCTTAAGACTGGCTCTCCCGGCGCCGCTGTTCTACTCCAGGCTTCGCGAGGGGAGGGGAAAGGGGGGAAATTGCAGGGCTTTCTAAAAATAGCCGCCTCTCGCGCCTGGCAGGGAGGCTAGCACATCATCCGCACCTTGGGCTCCGGCCCATCGTTCCCGTTACAGCGGCTGGGCGAGCGGCAGCGGCTCTCGCTTCAAGCGGACGACCTGCGCGTGACGACCTGCGCCATCCCTTGTCGGAGCCCCAAGCAGATGTGTCGGAAAGATAAAAGGGGAGGCGGAGGTGGGAAGAGGGGAAAAAGAGTCGGCGTTTCACACCGCGCAAGGCTCGGCGTTGCGCCGGCTGCCTGGGGAAATCCCGAGGTTGCGGGATGAGGGCGTGGATTAAGGAACTTCGGCGTTGCGGGAGGACGGAGAGCGGAGACCTTGATCCAGCTGAGCCGGGAAGGAAGTGAGCTCGTGCTTGGCTACGAAGAGCGCAGACGAAGGCGGCTAACGCTCAGAGTATTAGATCGCTCGCTTGGACTGTCCAAAAATGAGTCCCCACTTAGTGAAGCTCCAGCAAGATGTAAATTAGACAGTGAACTGCTCTGTTCATTCACCTCACCATCTTGGTCATCTTTATTTTCAGAGGGTAGCATTTTTTCTTAGTTTTAAACTTCTTGATCCCTTTTCCCAAGCTGGTGGTCTTCAGGTTGATTATCCTATGGGAGGTTTAATGTAGATAGTACACCTGGGAAGGAATCAGGTTTACTAAAGTCATTCCATCTGAAAAGTCTGAAGAATCAAATTAAGAACCATGAGGAAATAATTAGTAGATTTACAATTAGGGTGCAGCATTAATTAAGAGGAAAATTGCTGTCCATCATTAAGCTTGGAAGAGCTTATCTTGAGCAGAGATCATCTACTGTGGTTTATTCTTCTCTAATTAATTGTACCCCATTGTGGCCTCTTTCCCCAGAATGAATGAATGAGTTCAAGAAATGTAAGTTATTTGGCCATATGATCAACTTAAACAGTTTTTGTTAAAAAAGAAGTGATTGGTTATGTCAATCACGACCCTCAGAAAGGTTGTAACACATTCAAAGTTACATATGATTGATGGCTTCCAGTTAAGAGAGGCATTAGCAGAAGTCAGTTCAGTTACAATTCAGGGATACAAAAAGTACTGTAGTACTTCTAAGAAGTGATCATCTAGCTATCTGCAGAAATATCTGAAAACCAGTAGTTTCACCATCATCCATGATAGCAGCATCCATATTCTCCATTTTATCATATATACAAGTAGGCTGTGTTATTAAGAGTACATCTCCTGCCCAGATAGCTTTCCAGAAGATGTTAAACATGTGCCTGTTTTTCATGCCTTGGGATAAGGTAGATGGAACCCACTTGTTAGAGGTTTTTAACATATATTGTATAAGGTTTGATGTGATTCTGTTTCTTCTTTTCCTCATATTTTTATTATCTTCATATATTTTGTTTTTATATTGTGAGCTGTCTCTCTGTAGTTAAGCAGTTCCACAATTGAATTAAATAATAAAAAAAGAACTTTGTTATAAATCAGAGGCTACCACATACTCCTTTTAACTTGCTACCTTCCAAATATGTTGAACTTTCAGTGCTATCCTAAGAAAATTAGAATTATTCTATTATCCATGCAGGGCACCTACAAGTTATGGGAAAGCTTGCAAAACAAAAAAAATGTTCCATTAAATGATCTAGCATGGAACTAAAATTTAATGCACAAAGTTGAATCAAAAGTCTTAAATATATAATATTTTTAAAATGACATCATTTCTGGCATGCTGTAGTCCATCAGAAGCATTAAGTGTTTTTATTTATAATTTCAAAAATTTCTAAGAATAATTATGCATGATGTCTGGTAAATAGATTAAACAGAAATGCCAATCAATAAGGACAAAAATAAAGGCTTCCCTTTTACTGAAGAAACTCATGTGCTTCACAATTGTTCTCCTAAGCACCACAGTCTTTTTTTTAAAGAATATTTAACCACATCCAGCTCATTTTAAAAATTATTATTGATAGTTTTCACTGAATGCATTTTTAAGAATTTTCATTTTGCTGCTATATCACCTTATAAGAATTGTTTGCATGTTTATAGACATCATCATGATATACTTTCAAATGGAAGGGCATCATATCTAAAATGAAATAAAGTAAAAAAAATGTTAAATTGTATTTTTTAAAGGTCACTGAAGAATAAGAGTAGATAGAGCTGCAGATGGGAGTGTTGGAGGCTGGAAAAGGGATGAAATCAAAATATATATCTAATAAACATTCTCTAAAATAAAAATATTATATTAAGTTTTAATATACATTCTCTGGAAGAAAAATACAGGAATAATTTTCTCAGTAGTGCCTACTAATTATGGCTTTATGTAGAGCCTGCATGCTGAAATATTATAGAGAATTAAGTCCTGATGATATTATGTCTCCATCTCCAAATGTTCAACATCTAGTTCATATTCATAAGTTCATCTCATTGTTACAAAGATTCACTTTGGAAATGGTTGATGCAACCACCATCAGGGATCACATATCACTGCTGGGATGTGCTAATGAGCGCTCTGTTCCCAGTGGTAGGTCAACAAACAGGTGGAAGATGCAAGCCTGGCAATAAATGTTTGCCAGAAAATATAAAGTTGGCTTTAAACTCCAAAGAATTCATGATTATTTTAAACATAGCTGTTGATGAATTTCATAAATTCAACCATACCTGGGTGGGCGTCAGGGTAGAGAGAGAATGTTCTTATGACTGTATAATAATGAATGATGTCAAGGAACTAAATGCACAAACTGGGAAAGTTTTCCAGTGCAAGACCAAGAAAGATCTTAGGGCAAGTGGTCAGGCCTACTTGGAATTTGCCCATCAGTTACATTTCAAGAGGCTTTGATGGAATTACAGATGAGACCAAGAGGCTAAAATTCAAAGAGATTGTGACTGTTATGGCATCGATCAATACTATAGTTTGTTTAATATAATAATAATAATAATAATAATAATAATAATAATAATAAAGTTGGAAGGGACCTTGGAGGTCATCTAGTCCAACCCCTTGCTCAGGCAGGAAACCCTATACCATTTCGGACAAATGGTTGTCCAGTTTCTTCTTAAAAACTTCCAGTGTTGGCACATTCACCGCTTCTGGAGGCAGGTTGTTCCACTGTTTAATTGTTCTACATTCTTTTCTTTTTTTAAAAAAATAATTTTTAACAAATTTTATTAAATGTACATTTTAAAAACAAAGATGGACATGATTCAACTTCCCTGGCTTCAACAGTGCTATTAGTATTACTTTATGTTACAGAAAGAAAAACAGAAACTTAAAATACCTTCTATAACAGGACAGAGTATAACAAACTACGCGTATAACATCTATGCGTATAATTTTTTTGATAAACCATCTTTTAATCGTCAATGTTGTATTTACATATCTTTCAGTTGTATCCTAATATAGGTACTAATAAGAAGTCCTTATGATATCAACTAGTCAATCGATAATCATCTCAGCGATCCTCCTTATCTCTAACCAATCGTACAAATTTTTCCAAATTTCATAATACTCTGTTTCAGTTTTATTTTTAATCTCTAGAGTTAACCTGTCCATTTTGGCGCAAGATAAAATTTTATTTATTATTTCTTTCTCAGTGGGGGTTTCCTTTCCTTTCCATTTTTGGATGTACGCCAATCTTGCTGCGGTTAAAATATGCAAAAGTAAGTAAAAAGATGCTTTGCTGAGTTTATCATTAATAATCCCTAATAAGAAGATTTCTGGTTTTAAATCAATTTTTTGTAATAATATTTCTTCCAGTCAATTTTTTATCCGATTCCAAAAATTTTGCATCTTTGAACATTCCCACCACATGTGATAGTACGTCCCTGGAAGCCTTCTACATTTCCAGCATGTTGGTGAGGTTTTTTTTATCTATTTTTGCTAGCCTTGTAGGGGGAAGGTGCCATCTATAAAACATTTTGTATAAATTTTCTTTGTAGGAGGTGGCTAGTGTTAACCTCCTGTTTCTGTCCCATAATGATTGCCAATTATCTAGGTCAATACTGTAACCAAAATCTTTACTCCAGATTAACATTGTTTCTTTTACCTGTTCTTCTAACAAATCTTGTTCTAATAAATATTGATATATCTTTTTTATCATTTGATCTTCTGTTCCTAGAAGGATTTTATCTAATTGTGTATGCTCTAATTTTATCCCTGGTTCTTTTTTTTTTGTCTTTTCTGTATCGCGACTGTATTTGTAAGTATATTGGGCCTTATTGCTATTAAGCTTCTGAATCTTAGGACGTTTTGTTTACTTATCCATTTTAGCAAATAGCTATTAAAAACAAGTCCTCTCATTTTCATAAACTTCTTTAAAGCTAATTATTAGGGCATAATTATATCTTGGACAGAATCAGCTACTCTGTGCAGTCATAGGAAACCATAGGAAGAATTACCGTATTTTCCGGCGTATAAGACAACTTTCTAAAGCGCGGAAATTGGTGCTGAAGTCGGGGGTCGTCTTATACGCCGAGTCGTCTTATACGCCAGAAATTACGGTAGTTTCCGGCAGATAAGATGACTTTCTAGGCATGGAAATTGGTGCCGAAGTCGGGGGTCATCTTATACGCTGGGTCACCTTATACGCTGGAAAATACAGTATGTTCCAATATTATTTATTTTTATTCATTTTCTGTGAAGCATGCATAATTTAACCTCCAGCAATATAATTTTTTAAAATATTGATTTTTTTTTAAAAAACACTTAGTAAGCAAAGGCAAACATATTCAGCTAATGGTTATTTTTACACTATTATGTCTGATGCATCTGGACTGGCAAGAATTGTAATTTCACAGTTCTGTTCATAAACTACTTAGATAGAAGTGAATATAGAGTTTAGTTAATCATCTACTTGTAAGTATAAGTAAGGAAGTGGTAATAAACATCCTTCTCTGTGTAAAATTGTGCCCTATCAAAAATATATATTACCTTGACTGGCAACTGTGACAAATCCTACTTTAGTAGGCTACAACACTGTTCTCTGAAGCATTTGATAACATGAACTCAAGTTGACAGATAAATGTAATTTCCTGAAACAAAACCTCTCCCATTTAAATACTAGTATAAAAACTAGTCTGCAACCCATTTCATCAGGTGTTATTAAAACATGGGTTTAACTACTAGACCTAGAACATCAGAGATAGAGTCTTTTGCTTGACTGAACAAAACAATTGTCTAGCTTCTAGTTACGTTCAGTATTCCATAAAACAGAGGAGTGTTCTCAAGATAAAAAGAAAGATCAAGAAGGATCTGAGTATTAGTTTTCAAGCAGAGATCCTAGTCAGGGTTTCTCAACTTGAAGATGGGTGGACTTCAACTCCCAGAATTCCCCAGCCAACTCCGCTATACTGAAACCCACTAGCTCACAGGTGTCAAACTTGATCATGTCACACGATGTATTGGGATGTATTGGGACATTTTTTGTCTGGCTAGGCCTGGCCTGCACATGATGCATCCGGCCTACGGGCAGCCAGTTTGACACCCCTGTACTAGTTTATTCAAGGAGGTAACAAATCATTAGCTAGGATGACTGTATTGGTGTCACTTGGAATTCTCTGTGCAATTATTGCCTTCTTTTGTTTTCCTAATATCTCCTCTTCCCCAGTAAACCCATTTTGTATATAGAGATCTGGTTTCATTATTTAGTAAGGGGATTTTTCATTAAATTATTTCCATTTGCGCACTATTCTCTGTGTTGCAGAAAGTTTGTTAAGTTCTGTGTTTGTGGGTTGGGATAAGAAGAACCAAAACACATTTCTTTCTATTTTTTCCAGAGCTGCTGAAGAGAGAAGTTCTTTAAAACAAGATCCAACTGAATGGATCAGAGAGTATTAAGAGGATCAATCTCTGACAGCTTATCAAAAGCTTTATTATTTACCAAGGAACCCCAGAAGAAGGGCTTGGCTAGTGATGTTTAAATTGCCCCTGTCATATTTTGAACAATGTCATCTTTCTGAGTATTGTTGCTTTATACATTCTTTATTCTAGACATTTAAAAATGTTTTATTCCATATTTTCATCAACATTAGTCATAACACAGATATATGGGAGATGCCTCTTCTCACTTCTCTGTAACTGCCAGGCACAGAACTAGACAATTATTTATTTTTATTATTCCTCTTTAGTTAATTATAAATGCATGAATCTGAACAAGTTGTAGATTTACATGTTATTTTTGTACTCTATAACATTATTGCTTTCAGCTGGGGCTAATGAGTAATATGTCTGCACATATTTTAACTATTTTAAAAACACTATTGGTAAATCCACTAGCAAATGGTAAGCTTTCTTTTCTTAACTTCCAGGTAGCACAGTTTGAAACTGGAAGGAAGGGGCATGGGTGGAATTTGATTTAAGGTTTCCCCCCCCCCCAGCTTTCTGCAAAGTTAAGTTGAAAGTCTCTTTCTTGCCTTAGAAAATGTTTGAACTCAGAACCTTAAAGTCCCTCTTCTGCCATTGATATCTGAGAATAACTTAACTCATTGAGATCAGTAGGTTCCTGAACTAAGCAAACCATAGATCAAGGATGAAATCTGTCCCTCAGTCAATTTATGGCAAGGCTTCTCATCTTTACAAATGTATTCAGAAACAAAAACTGCAAAAATCTTCTTTGGGCTTAGTTATCACAAACACCTTTTTGGGTGTGCTTCTTAGATCCTAGCAATGCATTTTTTTGATTCCGTGGAATACATCATATTTCATGCTGAAGTTGAGCTCTGTGTCACACTGTTACTTGAAGTTATATAACAATGGAAAACAGTATATAATCAGCTAAACTTAGGAAATAAAAAAAGATTCTCCCTGTTTTTCTTCTAATACATTAGTTAACGTAATGCCCTAGTATATTGATGAATTATGCAACCTGTTATATTCTCTCCAAGGACTATTGATTACAAAGGGATCAAGGAGAACTACAGATTCAGAAGAAAAAAAAAAGAGCTGACATATCAAATAACAAAGTAACAATCAGCACCAAATTTTGATAGTGTTATAAATAGAAATAAATCTACAAAGTCGTGCTAGGTTATATTTTACTTTCTCTATTTATCTTAGATATTTGTAAAGTGTTTCCCTTTTACATAATTGTAAATGAAATATAGGAAGGGAGCATGACAACACCAGAGAACAGCAGAGGAAAAGAATCACATGGACAAATGAAACAGAAGTAAAACAACTAG